TAATTAAAATGAAGTAATAAATTGGGACTAAAAGTGATGCAAGATAAAATCAACTTGGGTTCAATTTGACGTTAATTGAACCCATTGAGCCTTGAGTCGTTTCATACCCGTTAGTGATGTAAACGTTTCAAAAGTCAATGTCAACCACTTCCCTTGATCAATCCATGATAGAGAGGAGGTTTTTGTTGGTCATTTGTTATGCATTTATTGAATTGTGTCCCTTGGTTCCTAAGTCATCATGCAACGTGATTGCACCGATTGATGATTTGTGAATCAAGCCTACTCCTTCTTTGACCTGTTTGATGACAAGGAGAGGTAGGGTGGACAAACATCCCCTGAGAATGCTCTGGTTTGTGCTCTGTTACTGTAGGAGAACACCAACATTTGTGGCCGACAGGCCACTATTTTTGGACGGCAACCCACTATTAGTGGCCTTCCGGCCACTACTTCTGGGTTACCGGCCACTTTTTCAAGGTAGGCAGTGCCATTTTTCCAACAGAGCAGAGTAGAAGTTGAGGTGAAAAAAATAGTGCATTTTTCCAACTGTGACTGTGGAACAGAGGCATTCCAGTAGCAAAATGGAGAGCATTATCGGGTGGAAATCCGCATCCATGCATGAGCCCTCCCTCGATCCTTGGGATATGTAAAGAGATGTTGTAATAATATTAGTTTTATGCTTGGAGTAAAAAGCTTGTAACTAGTTAGTTAGAATAGCTATGTGTCGTACTTATTTTAATTAGCTAGAATAGTTAATTAAATTTTGTTGTTATATTAAGTAGTTTAGCTAATTTATTTCATTTAGGTTCGTAATATATAGTTAGTTAATTAGGTAATTAATTAGCTAGGTTATTCAATTGGACCCTCTTGTGCGAGGGCCAAATATGTAATAATGTGTATGTCTTCCAACTCCACGTCTTTCTCCCTTTTATTTACTTGCTTATAATGGGTAGTTTAGGACATCATGTTTCTTTTAGCATACTCCATGTTTGCATCCACTTGTCTTGCACGCATCGAGACTCGGTTCATCATTCTAATAAAGCATTGTCATTTAAATACTTCTTTGAAAAGATGTTTAAACCCCATGCTATCAAATTGATTCACATGTCATAATTAGTAGCCAAGCGTATTAGCTGCATATCGCATGTGTTGCATTAGTCATATTGCATTAATTAGGAGCATGCATATTTTCTAACTCTTTTGTTTTTGTTGGCACGCCTCGGAGTACTAGGTGAGCATTTTATTGCTTCAGCATATCGCATGTGTGTGATTGTTGCCTTGTCTAGTATGTTTGCCATGAAGCTAAGTGCTTAATTGATATACTAGCTTGAATACCTGTGGATGAAAGCTAATTGCTTGAATTGGAATAATTTGAGCAATGTACATATGCGATCACTTTTTCAAGTGGCACATACTTGAAACAATTTTCAAAACAAACATGAATCAAATGTTTCAATTTTTGCAAATTAGTCTATACTTGTGTGCAATACATAGTAATGCTAGCTTAATAATTGGAACAAGAGCATATAATGTAAATAAGAATCACATCATAATTAGTAGAGGCCGATCTTTGATCGGGCGAGTGAGGATGCTCAATTCATGACCTTCCCCCCTTATATCTAAGTTCCTGAGCTGAGACACTTTGGTTGTGACGGCCAGTGGCCTTTGGCACAAGTCATAGGTTTTCTAGTATTCCCAAAAGATTAGGTGGCAACTTCAAGTCTGGTGATGTAGTTATTGTTTGGCATTTCTTGTGATTAGTATATTTTCTATAGATTTGCTAGATTTGGACTCTTGCTCGTTTCACATTGTACACTCGTAAAACTAGACGAGGTTTGAACTATCGGGCGCATTCAGATACCCTCTGGAAGATCCTACAGCGGCAGGTGGAATGGATGCTTGCCTAGCCTTGCTATACACGAACCGAAAATAAAACAATATGATAGCATATAAATAGATTGAGTTACGGTTGAGATAATTCAAGCATGAACATAAAATAACACAACACGACACTTTCCTAGTTGGGGGGCCCTAAATTTGGGAACCCGAGATGATTGCATTTGTTGGTCCTTCTCAAGGCGAGCCCTAGATGTGACATGAAAGTTGAGTTTATGGTTAAGTTTGTAAAAAATCCAAAGTTGACATGTAATACAACATGTCACTGTGATTCAAATTATGTGATACTTTTTAAAATTGAGAATATTCCTTGACACTGAGAAATTATTCTTGGACAGCGGAAAATCTTTCAAAATTATTATTAAGGATTTGTTTAGGATGTGGTTGTCTTTTTTATTTTTTGACTTTTTGATTATTTTAATTTGGGATTAAAAATTTCGTTTGAGATAGATTTTTTTGATTTTTTTTAATTTTTGTGAGAAAAAAAATAAAATGATTATGATTTGAATGTAACATTTTACCTTATTAACCTAAAAAATTATTTTATCTTTTGTGACTATATTTTAATCAAAAAAATTTCATTTTAGCTTATGCCAAATAAAAGGCTAAAACATTATTTTTTTTGGTGAAGTGTCCAATATATCCTTTCGAAAATGCGTCGGACCCCAGTAAACCCCACCCCCACCGATCCTAGTGCCACGTGGCACTACGGGATTGAAAGAAAAGAAAAAAAAAATTAACCAATGAAAACATGCCACGTCACTAGGGATCGACCTCCACTGAGGGTGTGTAGTAGCGTTGATATCCTTTTCCCCAATCTTTTCCCGTTCAGCCTTCTTTCAATCACCTCTCTCTCTCTCTCTCTCTCTCTCTCTCTCTCTCTCTCGTGATTTCTCCTGCCAAGCCAACTTACACAAACTTTAATAATAAGAAAAAATTAGTAAGATATCATTTTTCAACTTTGTATAGTAGAAAAGAACCAATATATATATTTTTATTAGTTAAGATTTTTTGGTGAAATTTCTTTGTGATTATATCAGAGAAATTTTAAAAATTATTTAAAAAATTCTCTATAAAATTAAAGAAATTTCTCTGTGACAATTGAATTATTTTTGTATCGTGACAAAGTTTCTGTGTCGAATTTTGTCTGTAAAAATGTTGAGGGACCCCAACTACTATGAAAATATTGCATATTATTTATCTTATAAAATTTTAATATCAAAGACCTTATAAAAAAATTCTCCCTTAAATGTTTTGTCCGTGTTTGAAAAAACCTAAAAAAGTGATCTCTTTTTTTAATTTTTACTTTAAAATTATGTCAATTTTTTACTTTTTTAATCCATTTTGTGTAGATAAATTTAAAAAGTAAAAAAATAATAATAATTAAAAATTAAAAAAACCAAAAGAAGCCAAAAAAGTCCATTATTTTTTTTTACTTATTTTGTCTTTTTTGGACTTCTTTTGAAAATTTTGAATTATTTTTTTAATTTCCTAATTCCTCTTATCAAGTTAAATCTAAAAGTCTAAAATTTTAAAAAATAAATAAAAATAAAATAAAATAAACCGAGCCTTGATTAAAGTGGAGTCGCCTCTATACGCGAGGATGAGTCAATTGGCAATTCTTCAATTTTGAAGCTTTGTGCAGAGATATCCATGGAAAAATTATGGGTAGTGTTACATGCACTAATTAATGTATTAACACTAGTTATGATATTATTATTAATCTCACTCATTAATCACTTTACAAATACTAAAAACCTTTTAAATTATGTCACATTATCAATTGATACACTAGTTAATAAACTAATTAGTACCTATAGCATTACTCAATTTTAAATGGGATATTCATACGTGAGCAATGGAATTGGTTTCCCAGAATTAGTCGAGGTGCATGTAACAAGTGGACAGTGTGATTGGCCTCTCAGATTAGTCGAAATGCACATAAATTGATCCAGATACTCAGTTATTAAAAAAATATATTTTTTAGTAAAATAAATTTTTTTTAGCCAATAAATATAGGAAAATTTATAACTCAATGTATATTCAAAAAAATATTTATAAATTAATGAAAAATTTTACAGGTACTAAAATATAAAGTGATAAACTTTATCATTGATCAATAATTAATTTTTACAATCTCCACCAAGCAACAATTTTCCATAAATATAGTTTTACATCATAGTCAAACAAAGCGGGTAGCACTAAAAAAGTGTACTTGGCCTCGAAAATGTATTATATAATTATATGTATTTATAGATTATGCTTTATATTGTTTGAATATTATATTTTATAAAAATAAATTATGTATTAGTATTTTTGTATTAAACAGATTGTTTAAAAAATTTAAATGGCTAACATTATGAGACATTCAAAACATTACCACTATATTTGAATCAAATATTTGAGTAGAAATTTAAAAGAAAAAAGATAAAAAAAAATGGAATAAATGTGAATAAAATACAAATTAAATATTATATATATATATATATATATTAAACCTCTTCTACTATACAAAATTGAAAAGTGATATTTCATAAATTTTCTCTTTT